GTATTCCCTAACATCCTACCCCCTCCCCCCCCCCCACCCTTCAACCATCCCTTAACGGCAGAACTCAAAAACACACTTCTACTACCATTTCACTTTTTTCTCTTTTACGTCTTTCATCTTTCTTTTACTTCTTCGCCTCTACTTTCATCCCTTGAGATACATATATATATATATATATATATATATAGTTCGCAAGTTGAACACTTATTCAACTTTTCATCCTCTCTTATTCCGTTAGTAACTTCGTCTTTGCCAGAGAGCATATCTAAATAATTCAACAGGGCTGCCAATGTTCTGAGCCACGTGCGTCGACAAAATTTCGCACTACCCTTGAGCAGCTAATAATAGAAAGTTCGTGAAATTCTTAACGCAATTAATCCCTATTTCAACCCCATGGCTCTTTTTTATAATTTAATAACTCTACTTCCCTTGAGATACATCTTGTCTTGTTACTCTGTTACATACGTATATACATACATACATATGTTACATACGTGTATATAACGTTTCTCTAGTCTGTATACAGGATATATTACACTGTATACATTTAATATTATATATCGCATCTGAATATATTTATTTTTAATAGCATATAGATATTAACATATATATATACTTGTCACGTGGAATTTTTTTCATCCCTTATACCGTACGTACTAGATACACTGTTACATCGAATAGGGCAAACGATAGAGTATGAAAAATAAAAAATTCGATTCGATAAGATACAAATATGATATAAATTGTCATTTCATATCGATAATTCGATTTCTCGTTAATAACGCGTCGTCGATTTCTCAGACTTTATACATAACGAGGCCTGACCTCTTCAAAGTGACCGAACGTATGAAACCTAATAATAATTTTGTAGAGAAATGATTTTTTTTGTTCGCATTAAATATCGTGTATCCATTACAAATATATTCAACGTTAAAAAGCACGTAGAACGGTTCGTGCCAATAATTTCAAAAGAAAGATTGATAATATAACAGCAATGGGAAGAAACTAAAAATCTAATTATGATAAAACAATTTTTTACCTCGAAAATCGATCTTCACCACCTTGTCACCCTTGCACTTAAGAGCTTGAAAATTCTTCACAGTCACCACCAGCGCCATTGTACACTTTTCTATGTACTAAGCTTTATCACAGTTGATCCCTAATTCTATCCCATGCTCGAGAAACGCTCGAAAGCACCCCTAGAGCATTAAACTCAAAAATAATTCAAAAGCTCCAAAAAATGCATATCCCATGTGTGCTGCGCCCTTAAAATTTACCAATAGCCCAGGGTGCGTACAAAATTAATATTTTCCCTTAAAAAAATCGTCTGGTGATCCGCGCCGTCTCTCGTCCATGGACCATTCCTCGGAGAAGAAAATTATTCAAAAAAAAAAAGATTATGCCAGAAAGCAAGTGAAAGAAAGCTGCTTCTCAGTAGCGACACGCGACCCCGTCGGCTGCCGTCGTCAAACTGGTACCGTTCGCGCCTAATCTACCCTCGAATGCTCCGTGAACCAGGGTTGCCGCGCATGCGCAGAAGCGACCGGAGTACGTGGGGTGTGTATGCGCGAGAAAACATTTCTTAGGATCGTCGAATTGAAAAAAAAAAAATTTTTTCTTTTACCATCGCAAACGTAATAAGGGTTGAATTTCGTAACGCGGTACGGAGCGATACACGTGTCGCAGATCTGTGACGTCAGGTTATCACCGAGTATCGTAAACTCTAGTTTGGGGTTTAACGACGGAGAAACCATGAAATATGTATCGCGTGTTATTCAACAGGGGATGAAGAGTCATGAATGTACTTGGATGAATATTAATTCACCCTTAGCCAGTGCAAGGTTAATAATAGTACTGATCCACAGGTTGGCCTCTCTTGAGATCTTGTACAATGCCGGGGACTAGGGGGTGGTTTCTGATGGATGAACGATTGCCGGAACGACTAGAAGTAGCAACAGGCTTTTAGGGGTGGGAAAAACACGGGCGATGAGCAAATCTCTCGGGCTTTTATTTCTACCATCTTTTTTATCGCTTCCTGTTGCCCCAGGGGTTGTTCTACTATATCGGCTTTTTTCATCCCTTGTATTTTCTATCGCAATTACTACGTGGGATACCGGTTGATCTGGATGGATGCCGTCTAAATTTTCACGGGCTCTTTCGCGTGAGTTTTCATAAACGGGGTTTTCGTAAATACAGGGGTCGAAAATAAATATTTGCAGCAAGAAAAATTTCTTTTTTTTTTCAACCCTTTTCTTCTCTTTGGCTAGATTGCATATGTTGATTGCGAGCCCTTAGCATCCGTTACGGCACGCGAGCGCCTGTACTGTTAAACGTATTAGTTACGATCTTATACGGGTTACTCAAGAGACTCGGCAAAGGCTTGAGCTTAGGAGAGGCCGTTAATACTAATATAAAATTTGATATTTTTAGGGATAAAAAATGGAGTGAGTTGTGATTTTGAAAGTGTTGCTGAATTTTATGAAAGCCCAAATAAATGAAAATAAAGTAGCCAGATAGAAAAGTTCGTGAAAATAATTTATTTTTGCGTGCCGCTTACTCGGATAAAGAGGCAACATTTGGAAAACGTATATTAATCAATGTTGGGAAATTATATTGAAATACTTATTTTTGCAATTTTAAACATGACCTTTGCTCGTACTCGATATATCATTAAATATTAACAACGGAGGGTGGATTTTTTTTTAGAGTATATTATAGAAACCCTGCGTCGCGAGAATGACGCAAGTCATTTTTCCATGAATCATATCAAAACCCGAATTCCCTTCTATTCTATGAATACATCAAGGGTGTAATTTAACCGACATTCTTGCGGTAGAATATAACCCCTCGAACTCTCCTGTGTACTTTGACTAAAAAAAGATCTCTAGCTTTATGACGCTTTCATAAAAAAAAAAAAAATTAATCTCCCCGGAGACAACCGCCTATAATTTTTATACTCGTCACATGCCTTACATAATGATATAATAGCCACCCTTAATTTTCTTTTTCTTACCCTCTAATCAATGCCACAAGTACCACGTCTGGTCAAAGGCATATCAGAGAGCATCCCATGTAAAAAAAATTTTCAAAATCCATACCCCAGCGTTATCGCAGGAGGACTCCCTGGCAAAGTTACTTTTGCCACGGAAAATAATACAATGAAAAAAGTCAAAAAAGACTAATCCAAATTCACTGATAAACGTGAGAAGAGAATAACTAAGGGATGAATCCAAGTGAGCAAGGAAGAATGTAGAAGATATAAAAAAAAAAGTAACCCAAAAATCCTAAGCAAACGTGACGGATGTTCAAAAGGTCAATCCTCGGGCTCCTTCGACTAGGAATGGTTTTTTGGTTATGCGGGGGTGGATCAATAGTAGGGGGTGGCTCGGCCTGGTGGTCTACAGCAGCGCCATCACATTGAGTTGGGCCGTACCAATAGCTGTTACTTTGCACCCCTTCCCAAGAAAAGGTAAATCCGGCAGTCCTGTGGTGGACACTCATACGTCACAGATTTGAAATGACCTACCCTTCCGATTTTAACGCCATCTGGGTTACGACCTACTACGAATTTACAACCCCCTCTATTAATTCCGAGCACTAACCATAAAGGTTATTGGGGTTATCGATGGTCAATTCGTATTATTACCAATTGCGTAAACATCTGTTAATTTTAATACCAATTGGATTAATCGTGTCGGAATAATAATAAGAGTAAAACTAAGGCACTAAGATTAATTAAACTTTTGAATATTCCAAACTTAATTAAAATAATGAATAAGCAAACAGTAGTAGCATAACAGTGCACTCGAGTTACTTAAATGCACTATGACAAAATTAAGGGGAAAGAATTCATTAAAAGAGTGTATCCGCAACAACCCCTTCCGTTCGACCCTTCTTTTTATATCCGGGATAACAATGGAACAATACCTAATGACTTGGCATTATCATCCTGATCTGGCACAAAGCATTTAATTTCGTACCCGAACAAATTTTCTCCCCCAGATAAACGATTCTCTCAGATTGTTCTGTTTCGTCTATTTTTTCTACCCACGCGACTGAAATAACAAATTCAAGGAATCCAAAAACGCCAATCAGAACTCAAACTTCCCCAGGCATGTTTATAATGGAACGGACTCCACGGGACTAGGTGATGTTCAACCTAATTATCAAGCACGAAATGTTTTGCTTTGTCTAATTAAGCAGCCTGCGCACACATTTTATTATATACAGTAACGTCCAATTGAACTACTACCCTATCACACGCGCCAAGCATTTGTCCCCCGAGCGCCTCGAGCGGAACTCGCAAAATTTAGGCGTTTTTTCAAACGGATAATTGCACCCCTTAGCGTAGTCGTATTGGATGATTAAAAGCGCGTCTTAATCGTTGAAATCTCAGCTACAACATGGATAAAAATGAAACTTCTATTTCATCGCTTTCCTAATGAAAAATGGCGGGGAAGCTTCGGGTGCACTTGCGAAATCTCGAGATCTCCGTCACGGGATCATCTTCGAGAACAATACTTTTGTGAGAATCTGCAGTATCATTAAAGATGATATCATGCAACAACTGGACCAGATTGGCCGGCGCGTTCGGAAGTTATGGCCATTTAAGTGTTTTCACTTCAAGGGGGTGTAACTCCCCCTAGAGTGATCCTACAGGGGTTCAATGGGGGTGTTTTTTTAATGCCGAAGGATGCTCTCTCTCGTGCCCTGATTAGAAATATAAATTTCCTTCCGGAACTACTAGATCTCGAATTTTTCAAAAAGTTCCAAAATGCACTTTTTCACTCCAACCCCTGCCATTCGGCCATTTTGTATCCGATCGGGATAAAACCTATACCATTCGAACGGGAAGGAAATTTCCTAAAAAATATGTCATTGGTTTTTCGAAATCTGTCATACTTTCACAGATATGTAGAAAAATTCAAGTGTTGCACTTCAATTGGACGTTACTGTATATTTCCTACTTCCCTTCCCGTTCGCATACGCCCACATTTTAATATTTCTATCTGCCCCTTGACCATAACTGCACCAAAGATACAGTTCAGCCAGCCTTTCGGTACTCATCTACCGATAGTGCACTTATCAGAAATAATCACGAGAAGGCTGATCCATTATTAAGAACATCCGATGGATGAGAAACTCCTCATAACTTAATCTTCCCTCGATAATATCAATTTTTGCCTTTTGAGATTAGAATATTGTTATATCACTTTTTTCGAAACTCTGACCAACGGCGCATGGCATTCTGCCGAGTAGGTCGAGTAAAAAATTTTGTCAAAGTCCCGAGGTGAGCATTTTCACTAGTAAACTTCACTAGGCCTTACTCTGACAAACATTTCCTACATTACCGACACTTTTATTGATATTTATCGTTTGCCAATTACAGTTTTACCTTCTGTCGATATTTTAATAAATACCTGTGATTTTATCTTATCGTTTAATCTTGTGTCGCCAAAATTCTTAAAAACCTCAGCGTCGAGCACCTACCCACGTCTCCATTTTGCACAGTCATAAGGAGCATACGAAATTGCACTATCGAAAACGTCACAGTACCAAACAACCCTTTGCACTAAGGCGTCAAGCACCTATCAGTGTTTAAGCACGGGAAGTGCTAGACTAAATTCAAAAAGATAAAGATTTCCGGTGCTGGTAAACATAAAAAAAAAATGCAGTCTTTTCCTATTATACGGTAGATACCTGATATGGCTTATGTAGATATATGGAGCATATACTCCATATTCTCGTTCGGCTCGAACGTAGTCCTTAAATTATATTTTCTTTTGACACCCTGTACTGCCCATAGTGCACAGTACTCTTTCAGTCCATAGCGAAGTGAACTGTAATCACGTGTAGCTGTAGTCTTTAATATATAATTTTACTGATAACGCACTCGTTATTTAATTAGCCAAGACCTACATCAGGCACTGTTATTGAAAATTCATTTGCTCGTCGATACATCTTTTTATTCCACCGATTATATTTATAAGCATATATAAAAAAATCATTCTAGCATGATTCATCGCGGATATAATAATTGAGCTTAATCTTATTATCTAATCGAAAAACTAGAAGAACATTTGGTTACGTTTATAATTTCAAATTTTCTTTTTAAAGATATTTTCGTTACTAGCTCTTAGCATCGTCTATATAAAGTTCTTAAATATTATTGGTATATATGTATATCTATGTATAGGGTGTATAGAAAAAAATCGAATGGCCTCTTTCAAAGAACAAAACTCACGACGATGAAAAAACCGACTTTTCGTTTACGGGCTCTGTTTCATCGCAATGCGCGTACGCCATTGCGTACGGAAATTAATAGATTTTTATTTATATAAAGAAATCAATGTACATATATTTACAAAAAGTTTTGACAAATTGCCGCGATTAAGCAGGGTTCATTTGTTCGTAACATTTTTCAAGTCTCATGTTCATAAAGTTTTAGATTGACGAAATGACCGTTATAAGGACACAGAAATCCTTGTGTACTTAAATGTAAAATGTTTTTTTTTACCCAAGGATTAGGAGCATGTTATTCGCATGCGTTCGTTTCAGGACACCCTGTATCTCAACCCTTAGACGTTTACAGAGGTTTCATTTGTTCTCGATGTTCGAATTCGCTATTTTTAGCTCTAATCTCTTATCACCCAAAATAACATACTCTCGTTTATATTATCATTATTATACGCGAATTACATACATCTAAAGGTACTACAGGCCTATGTAATAAAAATAAAAAATTGTTTAAAGCTCGTACAGGCCATCTGCCTTTAGATCTATCCGAAGCTGTTATCACTACTAATTACCGTTACTATTATCATTATTGTATACGTAAGATCAATGTTACAGAAGCGAAAGCATCGCGAAAAAATAGTTAGGTGACCCTTTTTGACTTTTTTTTATCTTGCCCAAAAACGTGCTCGAGTAACTTAATATGCATAGATGGCTGGATGAAGTAAATTGAAAAAAAATGGCATGATTAAAAAAATCTTTAGATATGCGCCTTTTCCACAAGGCCTCCGACGATTGGCAATACTTTTAATTTTTCCGTGACAAAATCCAAAGTCACTCTGGTGGCTTCGAAGTGCCGATAAACGTAGTAAAGAATTCCGAAATAGAACGAGTAGACGGCTATGTTGTGGATTACGTAGAGCCTAGGGAGATAAGAGAAATATTTTTAACAAAATTTTTTAATTTAAAAATATTCAACCCACTTACATTTTCTGATGCATACGCGCTCGTGGCAATGTCGACAGGTCTTCCTTCATGCAATACTGCCTTGCGCCCAAAATAATTTTTTTCAGATATTCCACCTCGTCCAGTACTAAGAAATCAATGGGAAATAATTCCTTATCTTTGGGACTCATGTCGCCCCATAATATTAATAAATTTGTATTATGAAAGACCCATTCGCGCGTGGTGAAGTATTGCAGAAGTTCGAGACCATCAGTGATGCGTTTTTGGATTCGAACCATACTAAAAATAAAAAAAAAACGAAAGATATATACATACATTGGAATAAATAAAAAATAAAAAGAATTTTTTTAAATGTCGAATTTTTATACGTTATTGAATTTTGGAACTCACAAGCGTTTCTGTCGGAAAATAAGCATCAGAAAGTCGATAAAGTACGCAGGGATTAGATGAAAGAAGAAGACAAAGAGATTGTGAATAAATTTACTGCTTCTGATGTCTCCATCCGGATACCAGATGGCGCCCTCAAAGGGATATTGATAAGCGACCTTTTTCCCTTTTTCCAAGACCTCGCCCCACTTTATGGGCAATACGCCACTTTGCGTGATATTATAAACGGGAATATTTTTGGGCCTGATGACAAAATTTGGTTATTAAAATTAATATTTTTTTTCAAATTTCACAATTTTCCCACTCACTTCTCGACGGCCGATCCGATTTTAAAGGCGATGGCTATCAGTGCGTTTATAGCAAGGTCAACAGGTATGACCTCGGCATGATAATTAGCATTGCAATGCATTGACCTGATGACACCTTTCCCAGCACCTACTATAAGGCCCACAGGCCCATTCAAACTGTCCACCCACCCGGGCAGTGGTTCGGCCCAAGCTGGAGTCACTGTCGATAAATTTGAATCAATCATTTGAACGTTATCGATTATTCGTCGGATTGAATTGTCCATATGTTAATATTTTATCGATTACCTATCGATGGCCTTGCGATGCTGCACGGTAAATTCGCATATTCATCAGCCACTAATTTTTCAGCCAATCGCTTCGAGTACGTATAAGTATTAGGATGAGGATCCAGCAACCTATGATTAATGGGCATTATCAAATTTTTATAATTAATTTTAAAAAAAAATTTTTTTAATTACTTCGGTGTTATAAGGTCAATTGCGCTTTCATCCATCCACTGTACCAATCGCATCACGTCACGCGGATCATCAGGAGCATCGTAGACCCTTTCGCCAAGTTCCTCCTGGTCAACGTGACAGAACGCAGTGCTCAGATGGACCAGGGCCTTAAGGCCCTTGATCTGTTTACTCAATTCCAATATCCTCTTCGTGCCAACCTTGAGGACCAAAAAACAAATTCTCTTGAACGTGTAAAAATAATCTGAGAATATTCGAAAAAAAATTTTTTCCAGTCTACACTAGGTTCCTACTATTTTTTTCAAACGCACTATAGTCCACTCGTCTAAGATCCGAAAAATTTTACGATACACGCAACCAAATGAAATATACCGTATTCATCTCAATGGCGTCCTTAAGCTTAGCTTCGAGCCTAAGCGTCGCGGCGCAATGAAAAATAACGCTGACTTCGTTGACCAGACGTTCCTGCTGTTCGTCGGTAAGGCCCAATTTGTCCATAGTGACGTCACCTTGAAAAGGTACCAACTTCTTCATCACGCTCGGCTTGGTTTTACGAATTCTGTTGAACATCTAAAAAAGTATATTAACTTTCAATTATTTAAAAAATCCAATTTCATTAACGATTTTGAATAATAATCACATGAATTTTATTTCGAAAAATGACTTACGGGCAGTTTGAACATCTCGTCCACGCGGATCTCAGGCGAGCGGCCTCTTCTGGGCCTTAGCAGTATATAAATCTTCTCAAGATCGCTGCAGCTGTACAGTAGCTTCTCTATAAGTACCTTCCCCATTAAACCAGAACCTCCGGTGATGAAGATGGTCCTTCCTTTGAAAAAGGACTGTATCTCGCTGAGATTGCTCATGATGCTGCACTGTAACGTTACAAGAAGATTTTCTTCATCGACTGTACCCGAGGGCTCGAAAGACCTTTACGAATAAATGACTGATCGAAAGTGAAGGGGGGAAAAACGGTTATTGATGACGATGAAAAAAAAAAAAATTTTTTTAATTTTTTTTCATCATTTCAAAATTGATTTTGCGACACTACGTCAGCTTCGTATGGATTGTGTGCGGGTATTACGTAAGTGTCAATGTGGACTTTTGCACCATACATTCCTATAGCAATTGTAATGATATTAACCGCTCGGATGCTGCAGCCGAGGAATTATCGTGTACGCGCATCTGTTCGAAAAGTGAAAATCAGTGAAAGGCATCGAAAGGGCATGAGTACTCGAGCGTAGATATTTTCATGAGTTTTTGCGTGATTAATGATGGCGATGGAGATTCAGTGACTGGGATTGCAGTAAATTTTTCAATTAGTTTTATTATTATTATTAGCGATGAGTAAATTTAAAAATAATGTCAAGGTGCTTTGGTATATTAATCATGTATAATTATCGTGCGTACATATATGTGGGTATGTTGAAAGATTTTGTAAATTTACAAATATATGGAAATTCGTGAAAAAATATTTTTGCAAAATCTCATTTTGCAGTGACAATATAGAAATTTCTTATTCGAGTTTAGTGAATGAATAGATTTTTTTGTTATTCCGGCTGACCCGATGAGTCACACGAAACATGCGACATCGGTTTGCCGATTTAACTTATAGTAGAAAAAAAAATGTCATGACTCTTGTTGCGTGCGAAAAATTATTATTACAAATTGCGCGATTGCGCCTTTGGATCATCCGAGAGCATCGTTTATTTTTTTGTCTTGCTTTCCTTTCTTCTGTCACGTGCGATCAATGCAACCGTAGGCTCCATTAGCGCGTTCTTGTAAAACAAAAGATTCCGTTAATTTGCATTGCTAATTAGGAACTCGATAATATATTGTTGTTCGAGTTTCGAAAGAAAAGTCATGGACTTCCATAAGACGTCTGCAGGGCATTTCGAAGATCTCAAAGAAACTCTCCAGCGCCCCCGCGATAATATATATTTTAAATTTATTTAAAAATTTATTTATTACACATGCCGATGGGACATGGCATGTGTGGCATATATGGGATCGGACACGAGGTTGTCGAAAATCTGCTTTAAAAAAGCAGCTAGTGAACCGAAGAAACGAAAAGGCATCGAGACGGGCAAAAAGGTCTTAAAGCAACGTTCAAAAGAGTGAAAGACGCCAAATCGATGGAAAATGTAGGGATGAAGAGCGACAGGGAAATATTGGAAACGGGACTTGACGAAGACTGCGAGACGACCAGGGATCAAATAATTAAAGGACTTGGTGCCGAAAAGAAAACTCCAAGCGCCGCCCGGAGTACAAGTGGCGCAGGGAAGGTCTGGGCCTGCTGGAGTACCGAGAGCGAAAATAGACAAAGACGAAGAGCAATGGGCAAGAATGAGATATGAAAATGTGGTAAGATGAGGAATTGAGGATTTTCCTGAACAGGAATGCAAATTGTGTGTGGGGGCTATGGAGAATATATGACGTATGAGTATCGAGAGTTTAACCTGGTACTGGATAGTACCCAGGTGACCAAAGAAAGTGGAGATGGTTTTAGAAGGTGGGAACGGACGAAAGGAGTAGAAGAGATTGTTGGAAAGGAGAGATCGAACCGATTTTATCTTAATAGCCAAAGACGGAGAGCAGTGGGCAAGAATGAGATATGGCAATGTGGTAAGATGAGGAATTGAGGATTTTCCTAAACAGGAATGCAAATTGCGTGTGGAGGCTATGGAGAATATATGACGTATGAGTATCGAGAGTTTAACCTGGTACTGGATAGTGCCCAGGTGACCAAAGAAAGAAAGTGGAGATGGTTTTAGAAGGTGGGAACGGACGAGAGGAGTAGAAGAGATTGTTGGAAAGGAGAGATCGAACCGATTTTATCTGAGTGCAGCCTAGTGTATGAGAAAGCAAGGAGAGAAGTGGTGGGTGGACAAAGTCGAATAATTGGAAAAGAAAAAAAAATGCAGTAAAAAAATGCAAAGAGTTTCTGCGCGACGAATAAATAAGTAAGTTAAGAGGATGAAGCGAGGAAAAAATTAAAGGCAAAGGAAAGCACGCTGTAAACTAGATGTAAAATATATGTTGTATTCTAATGCCCTAAAGAGCATGTACATACGTATGTCGGATATAGTAATAGAGTAGGACCCAGCAGCGGCAGTAGTGGGGATGTCGAAGTCCAGAAGGGTCTGGAAGGACCAAGGGGTGGGGAGGAAAGAAGAGTGGGGACGTCGTAGAGAGTAGTGAAACAAAGGCGAGCGAGTAGGGAGTGTGTGCGGAGAAAGAGAAAAAACAAAAGATAGATACGTCGTAATATTCTTTGATGCTAAATGTTATTTTGTTCCTTTAATAAAGAAAAGTTAGATTTTACAAGAAAATAACTGCTTGTAATATCCAATCCCTACACGTATATGTATGCCAATATATGCGTACATATTATGCATAACATTATGCGTACATTATGCCTGTAAAGCATGTGAAGTATATTTAGAGAAAAAAAGAAAAACAAAAATGATACAACTAAAATTTAATTATTATATTTTAATAACTTTTTTGATACAATATATATATATCTTTATATAAATTAGATACATTAGTACTTTGCGATACGAGTGCGAGAAAGCGAACTTTATAGATAGGCGGTGAAGTTGGTCGCACGAGTCGCAGGCGAGTGCTGCTTGTTTTACGAGTGCGGCGTGTGTGACAAACCTGTGCGATCTGCGTATAATGTTCGCTTTATTGTACCAGTATCGCGTAATATTTTCTGTAACGAATGCTTGAAAAACGCTACTTTATGTGCCTCCAAAGTGACTGGAACATCTCTTCATCGGAGGAGGCAGCCATAAGGAGAGCAAGGAAGGCTGCCAAACTGAATGCATTTCATGCCAGCGCGCGAGAACAAAGTTTACTTTATCGCACTAGTGCGAGAAGAAGGTACTAGTGCGATAATGTAAAATTGGGGGGATTCGCGCATGCGCAGCATTTTTATCGTATCCTTAGTTATAAAGCGCCACTTTTGCCAGACTTTGGAGGCACGAAAAGTAGGGTTTTTCGTGCACGAGTTAAATAAAATTATTTTCGTGGGAGTTGTCCAATCTTTTTTTCGATTAATCTGAAACATAAGTAATCAACGTCGCATGGTTTCAATCGACGATTCAAACCCAGGTACATGTGTCAAGAATTTTTTGTCACGGTGCATCTCAATGCATCGGCCGTGCAAAGTTTATTGCATTTCTTCTTCACTCGAGTCGCGCACACACGCACCTAGGTATAAATAAAAAATTGCATCGACGATCGACTGCAAAAATGCAAAATTGAAGAACTTTCTCGATTACCTAAATGCGCTCACTTGCGTTTCTCCGGCTACAAATTTTTCTAGCTCCGGAAACCGGTTTTAATCCCGGTTAAATTGACACGCTCCATATAATACAGACTTCTACATGCACTATGCAATTTTAACGTTGCAAACGTGTCTGCGATACGTAGGCGCGAATGTCCGAAAAAATTAAATGCACCTACAGCAAAATGTATTTATAAATTTTATTGAAAAATATACATATATAATAGAGTACTATATACATAAACACTTTGTTGCGTAACCAGCATACACTTTAGTAGTCTCTGGTGAAAGTAACTGCGAAAGTTTATTTCCATCGTAAGTCTCGCGACTGAAATAAATACTAATACGTAATCCGTATAATGTCTGTCTACATGGATTGTTGGGCAGATTGATAAATTCGTTGTTGTTATTATTATTAATATACATGTATATCGGAATATATTCCGTGGGAAGTATCAGTGAATGAAATATCGAAAGTAAGTGTCACACGAGGGAAATTTGAATTAGAAAACTTTTCGAACGAAATAATTTTTTGAAAAAAGTTCGAGACAGATCGAGGAATCTCATAAATATAAATTACGTGTTAAATTATGCGAGGTCGATTCACTCGATGATATTTGGACCTTGATGAAATCGTGATACGTAAATACATAATGACAGATAGCCGCAGGGTTCGTAATTTTAATTTCATAAATCGGGATTTACGATAATTCGATTGTTTTTTTTTTTCGTGGTGAACAAACACGAGGAGGATTATGGAAAATAAATTATTGTTTTTCGATATCTTTGCCTTTTTGGATATTTCAATGTTTAAGTCAAGATGTACATTTTGTATTGTTATTTTGTAAATTTTTATCTCAGAATGTCATTTACTTTCATGTCTGCATTTTTCTCCAGTGTCAAACTGGCCGCCCGCGTGTGGATTGTCTGACGAAGAAAAGAACCGAGAGACTTGATCTTATTCCGAGAGAGCATCGACCCTAATGACTCGAAAGATTATATTATTATTCGTAATTTTGAGTTTCTCGTATCTCGGTGGTTTTGAAAATGACATCAAAATTTTGAAAAATTTTTTTCATTGAGGTATCTAAATAATTATAGACCAATTCATTGCAGACTACTCATAATGAGAATTAACAGAGACATTAGTCAGATTGAAAATTTGTTATCAATTTTCGCCTGGTTTTTCCACTAAGATAATACGAATTTTTGTTAATATTAATTTTATCATTGAAAAATCAATAAAAACGCATATACGTTCAAAATTAACCACTGAGACTTAACGCAGATTCCAAGATGATTCACTCAACCACAAGAATCTGATCTGTGTACGAGTTACGCAATTGAGTGGTTACATAACTTTTGTTTGAAAACTTAATTAATTTAATTTCGCCCGTAGGCTTCATACTAAAAGTTAATATATCCGATCGATCCTTGACCGTAAAAAGATATAGGTTTATGGTCAATGTCTGTATATATTAAAAAAAAGAGATTTTTTGGGGCAATTTGACACTTAGAAAAAATAATTGAAACCTTGTTCGATATTTTCTCGAAATATTGTAACCAAAAAAGATGACGTCCAAAATCATCTCTGGTAACTTCAATGACAATTTTCAATGGATCTTTTGACACTTTTAAACTTCGTTGTCTCTTCAAATTATCGGACACGTGCTCCAACGAGAACGTCAATATAGTACAGGTTAAATAACCCAATAAGGTTGCGCGTAATATCCTTTGCGTAATAACGCAAAAAATCACCAAGTGATCCGAATGACGAAAGGATGTAAAATAAAATTTTTTTTTTCTTAACAATCTGCAGCTTAATAATAACAAAAAAAAAACATTTCCGCACAGTATAATACAAAATTCTTCCAAGTCAAATTCAATGACGTTTCGAATATACATATTCGACGAATATTTTGACCGGACTAAAAAATCATGAAATGATTGTACAGCACGATCCTAAACAAGCGGTCCATACACAAATCTTAAAAATCTAATAAATTTTCCGGACCATATAATTAATTCGATGAACAAAAACGTCAATTAGAAATCAACAAGGTAACAAATGACAACAAAAATCATTACGAAACGCGCACTGACGTTATAATGATCATTAAAATAATTAATGACAAAATTCAAGCGCACGTAATATCCCGGAGAAAATGATCTCGAAGAAAAATATACAAAACACGGGAAATAATGAAAATTCAACTGACCCACCTCCCACTTAAAACTTAATCGCCGGTCATTAGGTACTGTTTTCATAAATCATTAAGTGACAAAGAAATACTTCCTCGATATTGTTTAGATATCGTCATTGTTTAGAAAAATATTTCATGACTCGTATGACGTTTCGTGAATCGTTATTAATAATCATTTAATGGCTTCGACTTTGTACACACCTGATGTCGCAGACCTTTGCCAACGAAACAAACAAAACTTCTTGCGATCACTCAAACGCTGCTCCGAGATCCTCGATCGAGGACAACAGACGGTCGCGGCGGTTGGTCGTGAACTGCAGCCAACTTCACGGAGAGCTGAAGTAGCCCGTACAAAAGTACAGTTATAACTAGTCGCGAGTTCCCCACCTAGGCTCGTAAGCGGGAATACAATTTCTTCGTTCTCTATGCCGTTTTACTTTTGTATGTTATACGGAAAAAAAATATAAACCCACCTCGCAATGACATTTGCTATATTTTTTATCTTGTAAAAGAGGACCATTGTTTTTTTGGTTTTGGTTAAATTTCCTCCTTTCGAATTTCTCATTAAATATTTTTGTCTATTATTTTTTTGTTTTAGTTCTCCCGTTACATAGGCCATTCTTAGATAGTATTGGCGAAAAATATAATTTGCGAAATTGTCGTAAAAAAAATAGTTTAATTTTTTGTTATTTGCTTTTTAGCGGATTTCACAAAAATTCCTAGGGATCATTTCCCTTTCATGTTTTTCATAGGTAATTTTTTTTTATGCGTAGATCTCACGCCTGTTTCTGTGACTCCGTATAAATTTCCTTGACCCGACATGTTTTTTTGCTTTGACAATTAAATGACGCAAATCGATTTTCTCGTAATGGTCGGACAGTACAAACATCATTATCCTGAAATCATAACTTGCTGATATATAAAAATCAATCGATATCAATACCGTGTTTGATTTTTATATGGAATTTTTGTTCACAAGTCACTTTTTTGCAATATTCCTGCCTGTCTTCAGATTTTGTAATTACTCCATCGGTAGCTTTAAGATTTAAATTGTTAATGACTAATAAAATATCCTGACGGTCAAATTTAATTAAAACAATAAACTACACAAATTTCCATAATGATTCGCATGACAGAAACTGTAAATAATCGAAAAAATTCAAGTTTGGAATAAAAGTTTTCTCGTGGAAGAAAAAAAAATTAAAAGGTGTCACCAGCTTCACAAATAACGACCATTTGAAGATTATTCAAAGACTGACGCAATTTGAATGACTCAACAAAATTCAAATGTACTCAAACACAGTTTGTGTATCTTTTCCATCATTTTTCTCTCTCTTTTCTATGCCCCGTAAACAGTCTGTTGTAATACACAAACATACAGGCTCGTTCAAAAGTATTCTAGCAACTGAATGTAGCAAACGACAATTTCTATTGATTTCTAACGATAGAATCAAATTCAGGTTTACTACTACTGTACTACCCTATATATTACAATAGGGTGCCCGGCTCTCCCCGTTATGATTAATTTGTCCAAAGAACCGCCAGAATGCGCTGGGAACTTCCAAAAACAAGTTATAATCAGGAATCGAACTGATAATTTACACCCACTAATTAGTATGAAGATTTTCTGCTCTGCTACAGTCTTTTTAATAGAGTCATTGCTCTATGCTAATTTAGTATAATGTATTTAAATTCACAGAAACTATTATTTCCCAATACTTAGTTACTCACTTACCTTTATCTCTTACAAAGCTATAAAATTATTAATTCCAAGATACACATAAGAATACATATGGCTCTACTACTGTACTTACCCTTTACATAATATTCACCCTATATATTATAGAAAAACTATTACCTGACTCTCACTGCCTACTATGAAGTTTCTTAGCCTCTGCTACAGTCTTTTTAATACAGTCATTGCTCTATGCTAATTTGGTACAATGTAAATTCACATAAACTATTATTTCCCATTAGTTATTTATTCACTTACCTTTTTCTCTTACAAAGCTATAGAATTGTTAATTCCAAGATACACATAAGAATACATATGGCTCTACTACTTTACATAATATACACCCTATATATTATAGAAAAACTATTATCTGACACCCACTGACTACTATGAACATTCTGTGCTCTGCTACAATTTTCTTATACAGTCATTGCTCTATGCTAATTTTCTACCTATAATGTACATTCACAGAAACTATTATTTCCCATTACTTATTAACTGACTAACCTTTTCCACTTACAAGGTTATAAATTATTAATTCCAATGTGTGTATTGACAATAAATAAATTGTAAATTTGTCGTCACACGCATACGTACTAACAACATTGGAGTGACTTTTGCCTGGAGATTGACACGTGTTAATTATTCTTCCTACGGCGTCCTTCGCTTTACGAGCTACGTAATGATTTTCTTCATGATTTTATCGTTGTTATGACTTTGTACCATAGTCATTGATTTATTACACCTTCAGCACTGCACAAAGTCCGTGGATCGATACCGAATATAATTTTGATCATAAAAATATTAATTGGTTAGCGATTAATCATGATGACTAGAAAGAAAATATTTATTCTTTAACGACTAATAATTAGTTATTATACTTATTATTAGGATAATATAAATTTTGTACAAGTTGCAAAATTCTGTGGTCCTTAAAGAAAATTGGATCAAACAAAAAGAATTAGTGCCTTTACTAAAATAAAATTAAATATAATTTATTGCTTAAAATTGTTTATTCAAAAAATTATATTTATTAACTAGTTTCTCGTTTGATGCATTTAACTAGGCGCAGGAGAATTTCCAATTAGTGACAGTTACATTTGTGAAAGTCCCAGGAATTAACTATGTTGGTTACTTAGTAGGAACGAAAAAAAAAATTAAATTGGAAACTGACCAACAACCAGTTGGACGCAACAACCCAGCTGCCACGTGAGCAGTACGATTTAAGGCAATTTCACTGCGAACTAAGAAGAATGTAGTTATAAACTCTCACTCTTCACTGACCGTATAAGCACATCGTGTCTATCTATACATATATGACATATCCCCAAGAGTGCACTTAATCACTTTTTTTAAACGATAGTTGCAAACGCGCGAAAGTTTAATTACGAGCAACAATGTGCGTCTCTACTCTATTGCGGATTTCGAAAAAATGAAATTGGCGTTTAAAAAAATTTCGAATTCGCTTTATTGTTACGATCAATCTTATTGATTAACGTGTCACAATAAAATTTGAAAAAATCGTCAAAACGGGATCAATAATAAATATTGATAAATACTTTCGATCAGGAAATTTTTATAAAAATTATTCGATTAACACATTTTTTTTTTCATTCGGCTAAAATCCTACTTGGAAAAATGGCATGTAACTCAAAAACACTTGTTTCTAGTTTTTTGTATTCGCTGACTTAACACAACGTTATTTTTATTACATTAATTTATATGATACTGCCAAAATATTTAACATGAAATTCGGATCAAAAAATTCGTATTAAAACTTTCTAATGGTATATAGTTAATACGTTATGCAATGTACGTTTCCTACGGTACTCTAAGTCAATATTAATCTCAATGAATGCTTTGAGAATGGTAGTTTATAATGGGATTACGTCACGAGCCAAAAAAGACTTCTAATGAAACACCCTGTAGCGTCTCTACTGTGAAAGTTTCATGCAGCATCTGTATTATGTAGCAACTATTTATATTGACTAGATGGTCTTTTGAAAGTAATAATAATAATAATAGAAATGGCACTATCTGTGATAACTGGACCAAAACAATAAATACAATTACTTAACTCAGATTATTAACGCGATTCCAACTGAACGAGTGAAATTTTTTGTAGAGTAGATAAGAAAGTGCGGAATTGCAGTTACGGTACGTGTTAAGTAAATTTTATGATTTTTATTCCATACAGCCAGGAGTAGCAATTTACAAAATTTCATTAAATCAAGGTTTTTTTTCGAAATATTCTCTTCACGATCCTTCAAAGCCACTTTCGGTCAGCTTGTTACTTGCTGGAAGATACGGAGTCGTTAGGTAAATTGGTTGCAATTGCAAAGTGCACTTTTGAAAATGGAGTAAACAAGAATTCAATATACAACAGATCTGTTCTACGTTCTATGTTTAATTGAATTAATTGAAAACTTAGATTTACACATGCAATCTAAAATAAAATTAAGTTTGTTTAAAAGACTTGCTGATGGCTACCTAATTGCACGAAAAAATATGAAAATTCTATTTCGAATTTCTAATATGGTAAATATCGTTCAACGCGGAGAAATATCTCGAAATAATAAATCGTATCAAAATACTGAATAGACTCTTGTGCCAAATTTCCATAAGCATTGAAACTTTTCTCAAGTGAGAAAAATACAGCTACTTTAACGCAATTACAAATTATTGACATAAATCATAATTATACATGTTCAGCTGATAAAAGAACGCGTTCGAAATTACACGCCACGCGATCTATTCAAATGAAGCTATAAGATAATTTTCATACTGTAATTTCTTTACTGCCATATAATACAGAATACCCATGCGAGTCAATGCAGCAGTGCGTGAAACTGATTGGCAAGTATCAATTTAACCGTTACATTTCAATTCCCTAAAGATATCTTAAGTTAAAGAGAATTAAACGAAAGTAAATAATAAGACCCTTCTACAATATTCCAGCTGAATAATAATTTTATTCAAGCATTAATAAGCATCGATCAGTATTGCCATTGCAAAATTGATTATAAAACTATTTTACGTACATTCTCCCAATGTAAATTATATTAAAAATTATATTAAAACCTGTGATGCACTGCAGTTCAATAAAATCCTAGAAAATGTGTTGCACGCAATCATATGAATACTTGTACTCGGGTTCCATGTTTCTATACTGGTTGCGCATGCGCACTAGTTTCTGTCATGATGACCAACCGTCCTAGTAGTACCGTGAAAAACTCTAGATCTCATTCCAGGGAAACCGTCAGAGTTTCGGGTAGCTTCCACTGGCAGATATTACATGAGGAGAAAATTACCAGTGACTAATAATGATTGAGGAGTTGGCTAAAGATTATGCGGCTTACGCTAAGGTCGATCTGACCGACCAGGTAAATATTGATCACTTTTGTTTTTCCTTATCTTAACGTATTTTACGTGACGTTGTAGATTTTTATGGACACGATGGTTACTGGTTAGACAGGTTTCTCTGTGGCCCAGATAGCCTTGTGTCAGTCTAGTGGGATAAATTGTGAGAGAAATTCCCTAGTCTGACTTTCAATGTAGAACTTAGGTTTTGTGAATGTTTTTCGTTTTTCAATTTCAGATGAAAAATGTCCACGACTCTATCGAGGATATGATGACGCGACTGGAAGAATTCGAGTCCATTATTGGAATGGTTAGAAATTTATATTTCTTATTATCGTCATTGACAAATTTATATGACTGATCATCGTCATAAATTATAACTCATAATCACTCATAATTTTTGTAAAAATTATATTGCTAATTTCAAGCCATTAGGTACAGCAAAGTACTATGTGCAATTTAGTTGAGACTATTTTTTGTTAAAATCCATATTCCAGGCACGTTTCAGAGAGTGTAAAGAAAGATTATAAAAATCAACCACATTTAACCATACGTTTTACGCAACTGCTAAATGATGTACCGTCGTTTCTGCATTCCGATGCATTCATTCCGCATTCCCCAGTGTGAATCAAGCTTAAAGGGTAGGTCATGGCAGTCTGGAACGCTGCTTGATTAAAGTTCAAAGTTCACAGGCTGGTCCGTCCAATGCGATCCAGGTGACCTGACGAATAAGCTTGAGTCGTAAATATCGACCGAACTGAAATCACACTCCAGTAAATATAACATCAGACAGTTTCTATGTTGGCGACTGTCTTGAATTTCTACGTGTTTTGCCATTCACTTTCATTACGTAAGAAGTGAACCCTGTTCAAGCAACCTCAGTCTTTTTTCTGTTATACTTTTTCATCAAAAGGTCCAGACCGAAGGTGCAGAATGCATGAGCGGCCATATTCCAAGATTACTTTCGATACGTCCCGAGCTACGAAATCTCGGCAAGCGTATAGACGCCCTGAACTTTTTCGTCGCCAGAGCAAACGCCGATCTTACTGCCTTGGAAACAGCCGTCGATAATGCGGAAGCTGAACTGGGCGGACCTGAAACAATATTTGGAATGCTGAATCCATTGTCGCTTTTTGTAAGTCACAGTTGAAACTTGTAAAAGAGGTATTTCTACGTATTTAATAATTATTAAGGTCTTTTCAATAATAATATGAATGCGGACGTTTGTTATTTTGAATTTTCCAGAAAAAAAATCAAGAACCCATTGTCGTGCAAAGGTCAACCAGTTTTGAACAACCCATCATTTATAAGACTGATGATTACTTTGACAAACAATAAATATGACGTATGCACTTCGTTAATAACATTAACCATTGCAAGTATATCCTTGTTAAACGTTGAAGTCTGTTCTTTCTTTACTTCTATTATAAAATTTGTTTAGTTCGAGTAAGATATAACGTTTATGCAATTACTACTAAATTTAAAAAATTGTGTTATACAATAAATTGGATTTCCACCTAATACACTTTTTACAATTTTTATTATGCCTCAAGACAACAATATCGATCGAACAAATCAGTGCAAACAGGCTGCCAATTGACAGGATCTAATCTGAACTTCCTTCTCGCCAGAATGGCAAGCTCCAGCAACACAGTGCCGCCATCTTGTTAATTTCCCAGGACCACAGGACGAGCTACAGCAGGACCACTTGCTCCACTGATCCCAAATTTTTGGTTCGTCTTCTGCAGGAAAAGAAGAAAAGAAACCGAGGAAAACGAAATAGCACTTGAAAATATTATTTATTTTCACTTGGACTCTATAACATCGATTACAGATCTAACTGTGCCACTGAAAGGAATAAAATTAATACACCCATTCAACACGAAGCGAACGTGCAGGTTTTTAATTGCGCTTCTTTTTCGCCAATTGAACAACTACCAGCGATACAGTGGCGCCATCGCGTCAACTTTCCCATACCACAAGTGACACTGCAACTGGACCATTTACCCCATTGGTCCCAGATTTTAGGTCCCTGTCTACCGTGTCTCCCTGCAGGCATTATAAACGAGTATGTATGTACATCAGATACATTAAATTCTGATCTATTATTTATAAATCATCAACGTGTCCTCCTCTGCCCGGGGTTCTTTGTTAATACAAAACATTATTGATACATTATTTCTAAATATTATTACGCACCACAAGCTTCTATCATACATTAGTAAAAGTTCATTAATGAATCATTGCGCAATTGCACATTGCCTATGGTTCTTGAATAGTAATAAAAATTTAGATACATGTATTTATAACGTTGTATCACTTTTTTATTCCTATTGCTCTTTGAATATCTCGGTGAAAGTTGCACCTGGTTCGGAATAATGTGCACACGCACGTACGAATGCACAGTTGATGCTTTAGAGAATAAATCGATACCGATTAAAAAGCCGTCTAACCACTTTGCATTAATTTAACCAACAAACTGCTTTAACGAACTTTCACACATACCCTGTGGACATTTTTGCAATGTCCTTTCTCTTTTAAATCAATGCATAAGGTTGCACTTATTATCAATGTAATAAATCTACGCGTTCCTAAATACCCTTTTTTTTTCTTATGCCAATTTTTGAACGTACCACCACGTTTGAATTTGCGCTGGAATTCTTCTTCGTCGTCGTCGTCCGATCTTTGACCCTCTTCGGAATAATGCGAGGGTTCATTTTTGGCGTCTTCCTTTTTATTTCTCATACCGCTTTTGAAAATATGCCCTTTGTCGTTACAATTATCATCTACGTCCTCGTTATCTTGATCGTAGGAATTATCCTCGTCTTCATTGTCGTCTCTGCGAACGAATAATAAAATATTTTGCTTCACCCTTTATCAGGAATCGTATTTGAGGTTATAAGCTTGCCAGGCAAGACGCTAATGATCTCTTGGTTCGAGAGAAAAAAATTTTTAAGGCGTGGTAAAAAAAAACCTTGGAGCCTCATGAAACAGAATCTTGTTGTTCCATGGAAAAAAACCGTTTCGTTCGAATCGAGAGAAACCAATGAGAACGGTTTATATGTAAGATCAATGGAAAATTTCGGATTCCGTGATACTTTCACTATAGCGTCACACCTAGTGTAGTGTCTTAAATTATTTTCACGAAGATACGATTAATTTTCGATACTTGTATACAGGATTATTCACCTCAAAAGTATCGACTGAAGTTGTACTGTATATTTGATTACTAATAGTAGAACCAACTTCGTTTGACAATTTTATAGTGAATAACCCTGTATACAAGGATGCATATTTAAATACTTGATATTTTCTACGTTCCGTTCGTTTATGTCATCCAAAATCTCCAAAGAGTCTGTTTTTCTCTTATTCGTCTCTCGTAATTTCGATTTGACCTTTTCTTTTGAACGTACGACTTGACTCTCGCGTTTTTTTTCCATTTTTGTTGCGCCTTCCTTCTCGAGCTCTTGCCTGCCATCCACTGGCGCTTCCACAATTGCTACTGCATCCTTTCTGGGTAACGAGGTATTTTTTGCAGCGTCCTGTAGCACACTGGATACAAGCGTAACATTGGCTGTGTTTTTAATTTCTTTTTTTGTCAAATTCCCAATGCTCTCTGTACTGGATACACCTGAATATACTACCACTAGCAGGGGTAGTAATACAGACAGTTTCAAAACTAACGTACGAATGGCATAGGACATTGGTATTACAAAGCGTCCAATGATGTCATCCTGTTACGTGTGAGGTTGTAAAATTTGATGAAATTGAAAATCAAAATTTTCAGCACACGTGTCGCGCTGCTCAGCTGTTTTAGTAAGACAAGCGAAAAATTCATTTTCTGGTATTGTCTTTGTTTTCGCTGCCTCTATAATCTGTGTTTCATTTACAGCTACATTCCTAGCCATTTGAGGAAATTCTTTTTCCTACATTGTTGCAAAATACAAGTCTTCATCTGCGCTGTTTTTAATCCGGGTGCACAATTTTCAGTTGTGCAATGACGCCAGCGAACTCGACGACCTATGCCGCACGTGGCGCTGCAGTCGCTCCAGTTGCTCCAATCGTCCCAGCCCTCAGGATCCTCCTGAACTGTAAGCACAGTAATTGTATGAAAATAATGAAATTTTATTTACTGAAAAGAAATCGAGGGCTGGGACCATTTTGGAATTGACAAACTCCAAATTTACTCCGTTCGTTCTGTCCCCTCTTTCGGTAGAAATTTATCAAAGTAATACAATTTTGTTATGCGCATGCGCAAACGATCGATACACAGGGTCGAATTAGGAAAATACTTATTCTTGTCTTTTCTTAATTAACCTACATCCTTCGTCCTCCTGCCTCCATTCCATTTCTTTTACTCTATGAGGGTATCGGGTTATGAAATGCTGCTGTTTTGGATCCTCATTTTTTACGTTTTTACTTTTTCGAGCCTCGTCGTAAGAATCGTTTTCGTAATAGTTCGCGGTGTCCTTTTTGGGCTTTCGAAATCCTCTATGAAATTCTTTCCAATGACGACGGGAGCGAGGAATTCTTCGACGATGACGAATTAACTGTGTATTCTGATATTTATGGAATTCGGTTTAATCTTTAAATTGAATTAATATTTATTGTTTATCGCCATTATTATTCACCTGGGTATCTGCAATCTGTCGACGTTCCGATAACCAATCAATGTTTCCCGGTGAAGATTGATCGGCGTAGCTGGAATTACTTTTTGGATCCTTGTCGTATCTTTTAGCACTCTTTCTTGGTTCACTCAAAAAATGTTGTATTCTCATGGCGTTACAAGTGTCTTGAGGATATTCAGCTCTGAAGAAAATTCAACGTGTTAATGAGGGTTATTATAAAATGAACTTCTTTGTAAAAACAATGGTTGGTTACTTCGAGCTTATATTTTCTCTGTAATTTGCATCCCTGAGACTCATCGGATTTACTTTATCCTTCATTATGGAAAGGTTAGATTTCTTCATGCTAAATTCCTCATCCGAATCCTCTGGTATGACGCAGCCGAAACAATGTGTAAGGACTAATGCGGATAATACGCGCATATCATGATTTTTATGAGCAGCTTAAAGAGATTGTGATTAAAATAGAATTATAGAAAAGCTAAGAGAAGAGCCCTTTTCTCTATAAACTTTAAAAAATAAAGGCAAAGTGACAGTTCGGCTGCGCATATAAATTGACATTGCGCTTGTCACGAAGTTGTCTGTGATGATTTGGATTTTTTTTTGAAAATGAATGACAATTAATACTGTACAATTTTGTATTACGTTCAGTATGAGTTTATTGACTAAATATCTGTTCTAAACTTACATCTCTTATTATTTTTAATATATATATATTCTTTTTCGATAATATCATTTTTCATCTATTTACATGAGTCTACTAGTCCTATCAAATATTGTAATTATATATTTTGTCTGATCTACTGAAGACTTAACTAGCCCGTTTGGAGGAACCATTTGATTTTGTATACTTGCTTCATTGTTCACGGGAAAAATAAGAAGCGAGACATTCTGTACGGCACAATGAGAATTTTTCATTTAATTGAGTAGAATTAATCGAAGCACAGCTATTTCTTGGCTGTAATGAAAAATGGTGGAAATGTTTAATGATGAAGCTTCGAGTACAGTTACATCTACTCGAATTGGATAAATGAAAAGCTTTCGATATAAAGTACACGCAAGTGGGCACACAAAGAATAACGAATAAATGCACGCATAATTAATAGTTGATAACCAAAAGTAGAAACGTAGAAAAATAATTTATTCTTCTTAAAGTAATGACAAACCGTATTAAAAAAATGAAAAAGAGTAAATAGATTATTCGACTGTACGATTCAACGTTTCATGGATAATTAGGAAAAATATACAATTTTATAGACATTGCTATTCTCTTGAAGTCGATTGCAAATCGTTCATTTGTAAAATATTGTTTTCTGATGCTACACATATTCTGTCTAGTCACATAAATACTATTGATTGGCTCATCGCATTTTGTTAAGAGAAAAACTATTCTAAGAATCCCTTTTGAATAGTATTTTAGAGCAAAAAATTCCTTTTCGTTTAAAAGGATGAAATATTTTGTTACCGCAAGAATGAATTTCGATTAATCTGATACAAACTTTGTACTACTAGTTTTACCGACAAATGCTGCGTTCTGGCTGTATTACATTTAAAGTCTAAAAAAGGCCTTGTGGGCTCTGCCATTTGGAATTTGACCTTGAAGTCTCAATCTTCGCACTGCTTCCCGTAGATGTTTTGGTTGCAGCGGTCCAGTTTCCTCATGAGCTTCCATCACGTCAAGGGCTAAAGTATATTATTAAAGTGCTACTAGTACAAATGTACAAGGAAAGTATTCTGATATTATGAACTAAGTTGTAAGTACCTTCTTCGACTATTTCACCAACAAAAACTTTGGCAATACCAGACATCGCAATAACAACATTTTGTGAGACTGAGCAGCCTGTGATGGTTTGCATGATCTGCAATATTAATTAAATCATATTCTGATTGCAATTGTTTATATTTTTCTAAATTCCAGTATTTAAAGGTTAATATAAATGATTACCCTTTTAATTGCTGCTTTGGGAAAAGCAGCTCGCCTGTACATCTCATACCTATCGAGTTGATCTTCCGTAAAATTAGAAACTAAAACCCTGAAATGAGTTTATCATGAAATATCGAGTTTCACATAAAATATGATTTTATGATTTTGTTAAACAGTGTAGACGTACTGCATCTTTTCTCTCTCCTCTTCTTCTAACTCCTTCTTGCTTTTTTCTTTACTCTCCCTTCTGTCTTTGATATTAGTGGGCATTGAGTGCGGTAGCATAATATCGTTGCCAAACAAATCCTCTGCACTTTGTTCATGTTCCTCCTTGGTAAGCTCATGCTTGACAATGTCCAACTCTTCCTCTATCAATATTCCCGTACCAATAGAACTAGAACCCATATCCTCCGTGTCAGACTGCGAATGAGAGCTCATAGCGTCGGATTCCATCTAAACTCATAATGACACTCAATCAATTAATTATGCCTTGCTAATAACAAACTCACTAATAATATCTAAAATTAATAATACGAAATAACCTAAAAAATCGCTTACATACCTTAATAGGTATATTATCAATATCCATATTATCAGTATCCTTATTCATCAAAATTGAACCATCCTTCTCATCCTTATACTCAATATCAATGAGCTCATTTTCATTTTCGGAGTCATCCTTACCAAATATATTATCCATTTTCTAAATAAACAGTAGAACATATGTAGTTATAGGTTATAAATACAAACATGTACACAAGAAAAAAAAATAAAAATCTTAACAGAAAATAAGAATATTACATAAATACATTACTACACACTTATCACCGTATGTCAGAGCCTCCAGCTGGCGCGCTTTACTGCGTAAACGTCCTGCGACCCTTGAAAAAATCAAATAAAAGACTGGACCAAACTATATCGACCGTTCTGACAGAATTCGCAGACAGCTGTTCGCTCTAGACTGACGTCAATCGTCCCGGCGCCCTATTCACCCTCGTGTAAACCGGTCTTGATACGATTCAACGTACCGTCCGCTTTCACGCATAGATGCGCGTTGCACAAAATCCCTCGGAAAGGTAGCACAACACTAAATGTACGAAAAAATATAATGTAACGTCAACAATCCCATTTACTCAGAAGAATCATTGTATTTCAAAATTGAGGAACAATCAGAAATCAAAATTTCAAAAATCAACCTTCGCGTTGCGTAAAACGGGCTGTTAGTTTCGTAAATGTCCCGATAGGCGCGCGGTGGCAGCACCGATACTGTCGAGTGTACTACTCGTTCGTGTCGCGACGCCGTATTTGTCAATATCCTGAGAATTTTCGCGTTTTTCACGTATTTCCCAAGGTTTTCGCGAGTTTACGGGATCCGGTTCGAGTTTGTGGCTCAGGGCAAAAAGGACTGAGCAGTGTTAAATAACGACCGGTCGTTTCGCGGCTGTAAAATTAATCGTAAACGAGGCGAGAAGAAGCTGATCTGGTCCAAGACAATTCTCGCCAAGCTGATTTGTCGGCATTAGTGGATAATAGTGAGTGAATGAGTGTTTCGATTGATCTTAGATAGACGGTCGGCGTCCTCATTTTAATAGCCAGTGAATGCGGTCAGAATCCAGCTTCATGTTTTAAGATGTGAGTATCACAAATTCCTTGGATAATCGTGGATAAATGTTTTGAAGCAAAGTGCACACGGGGAGTGGGACGCTGGGTCCATCGAGACGCCGTGCATTTTGTCATAAACACGGTTGCTTCTTTGTGTACTTGTTCTATACTGTGGTCTTTGGTATATTGTGGTGGATGAAATACCAAGACGTTGGGTACCTTGCGAGAGGATACGCGTACGAATATACGTCAAACCGGTCCTGTAACTTTGGACTGGACTTTTTCTTCTGGACTCCTGAACGCTTAAGACGTTCGACTCTTTAACGTGGACGGGTTCATTCTGCGGATTAGAGCGGATCGTGTCCTCTTATTTCTATTCTCGACATTCGATTCATGTCCAGGGTGCTTACAAGGTTCGTTGTATCCTAGAATTGTATCTGAGGATACTTCACACCGATCCAAATATAAAATAGTTTTGTGGTAGCATACAGTAAACTTTTCTTTGGAATTGTTGGATCCTTGAAAAATATTTTTTACATGCATGCAATGAATTTTGAATTGGTTTTGATTGGCGAAAGTAGCAAGGCATTTCTTCTTCTAGCTTTGTTTTGCATTTTTTCACTGTACAGATTTATTTAGTTTGACTTATTCTATGAGATTATTCTTCTGCATGTGGCCTAGAAAAATGCTAAGTAAATTCTTATGGGTTACATAGTTGGTGATAAGAGGTTGAAGGATACTGTAAGCTTTATGCAGATAACATCTTTGTTTGTTGAGTTGCTACCAGGTAGAATCAGATTTACATTGAAATAAGGGAAAACTGGAGACGGAACAGTAATGTCGCTTGTTGAGCAAGATTGATTGCTATGTGCAGCTGGTCTGTACCCTTAGTTATTGTGTTGACTTCCTGGCTTATCATACTGTATATATTTTTTATAATATATCAGGAAATCACAGGATAAACAAAATACTGTTAAACACTACTCATATTTTGTAATATTTTATTGTCATTGTGATTCTTTCATAAGAATACTTTGTGCGAACTCAAAAATTATATTTCAACATTCAGTTGCACATTCCCCAGTGCATTGTCTGCACAATATCTCATTTTAAAAGATTGTTATCAGATTATTATCAAAACCCAGTGTACATACACAAAATCCTGTAACGCCGTCCTAAGAGAAGTTAACTACAAAAATAACTAATATGATTCAAACGCAATATCCAAGGCTTGTTTGCAAACTGTATTTTTATTGCAGATGTTAACTGTATATAAACACAAAGCTAAGCAAGCTAAGAATCTGACTCAGAATACATAATCTCTTGTCAAACAACAGCATACAACAATAGCCACTGTGTATATGTTAAAATATCTGTCTCAAAGGAATCCTTAGCAACTTACGTTGCAAAATTGCATAAATCAAATAGTGGTGCATGTAAACACTTGTGCCTACACAAACTACCACCGTGTATCCAAATATACATAAATATCTATATAATTAACATAATGCCAATAGCAAATAGTATTAAAGGTCAACAAACCGTTATCAACTCAGCATAATTTCTGCATACCATATGTCAGTACATGCTTACAGTACAAAATCCAGCAATTGGCAACAATTATGAAATAGTACAGCATCCCAAAATTACACGAATAAATCAGGATCGGTAGAACAAAATATACCAACCCAGCATGGACAACATTAAAGCATCGAGTCATTGTATAAAAGCATTTCATAATGTACAACAGTTATCCAAGAAGCTACGTACACCCATTGGCTTTATGTACCATTTTGCACAGTTAGCAATGCCTAGCAACAAGTACAGTTTCAGCAATTACTGGATATAAAACCTGATGGATGCTGACTTGTTAATCTCAACACGTATGATACCTACCACATACCGGTTCATTACTAATGTACTAGATTATTAAAAACTAGACGCTGAAGCATCACTGTCCACAGTCTTACAGTAACAATTTTTTACTTCCACATAAGCGCTTCCCGTTACAGTTTTTAATCAGTAACTCAAGCATCATTACTCATAATCATTTAACAATCATTTCCAGACTATCTCTACATGCTTATGCACTGTCGACGACCCTCTGTATATTAGTATTCTTAAACAGTATCGCTTGTCATTCACGTGCAGGACATTGGCAGCCAATTGGTAATGCTGACCTACGAGTCAGTCAAGACTTGCAGACTTGCACCTTGATCGGTATATGACAGTCAAGATAAAAAGTTGTAAAGGAGAAAAGGGTTAACAAGAGCAACCGAAAGAAAGTGAAAATGACAAAATGGCCGACGAGCAACGACAGCGAAATTCTTCGTTAGACACGCATCACCCTCCATTTTCAGCAATCATTTTCTAGCTGCACTGCTGGGGGATCGACATTTGCGATTCACTGTACGCCATGTGCGTGACGAGATCCAGGATCGTATTTTATATGTACATATATGTAGAGATTAACCTCCGTCCATAAATATATATCTGTACACATATACGGTTCAGTGTGCAATCTCTGGAAATAGGCATTTCGCGTGCTTAGTAGTTAGGAGGTAGGTGTTTACGTGTCACGGGAGCAATGTATAACTATGAAGTTAAATACAGTCTTGTACCTGTACTTTTCTGTATGCAATGCTTTCCAGTGGAGAGATAGATAAAAGTATCCGGATTCGATGCACGAGGTAGGAACTATTTGCGGCTCTGAATTTATGCATTGTATCTATACTTTGTATATCATAATTTCGGATAGTAAAGATAGGTATAGGGTTTAGAGTTCTAAGCATTGTATCGTACAACAATGGTTACCCGTAAGCACTGTACCATACGAAAATGCAAGAACTATTTTCTATGACGAGAGCAATGTAGAATATTGTATATACGTTTCGCTAGCTAATAAATCAAATGTACAAGCAGCAGATTTAAGCATTGTAGGAGCAGAGCTTTCGTATAAGCACTTTCTATACGGTGGCTGGTATGAAAATGATCAAAGGTAAAAAAAGTCCGCTCTTTGACGTACGGGAGGGCGCAGATTTTTTGTTGTCTTTTCTTTTTCTCTCTTCGCCCACCGGAACGCCGGGAAACGCGTATAATACATTTTTGTCGCTCTTACGACACGGCTCGATGCCCGTCTGAAGACAATTGGACACTCCCGCTGCATCGTGGGATTGCATATACGTTATTTGTTATTTATTTTTTTTTACGTTGCTCTTTGTTTGATGCATCTTTTACTTTTTTCTCTATTTTTTTTTTTTCTTTTTTTGCTTTAGGTGCGAAGAGGCCTCGGAGGTGGAGACGCATCATCAGCAAACGGCAGCAACGACAATGGGTGTCGCCGAGGACGATACGCCTTCTTCGCTGACTTCTCATCCCAACCCCACCTCTAACAACCCCAACCAAGAAGGTGAGTCTTTATGAAACTTTAATTTGAGAAATTCTTTTTTTTTTCATCAATGCGTCAGATACTTTTAACTAAGAGTCTGACGCATCATTGACAACGATATACGCCTTGTTAGTGTTGTTCGGCGATTTTTTAATCTGTTCCACGCGATGACGCCTGACGTTGAAAATGCACCTTAAGCTTAACTACCTCGATACCGGTAGTCCCGTCGACGTATGGTATGGGATATGCGATTCCTACTTAAAATATTTTGAAAAAGTGACAGTTCCATTAAACAAAGAGAAAACGAGGTAGCGGTGAATCGATCTTATTTTCTAATATAGATAACGAATGATAATGGAAAAATTGATTTAAATATTATGATTTTTGTTTTTAATTTTCTGTACAAATATATAATTTATATGGGTTCGCGTCTACTGGAAAGGTCAGTAGAAATATAAATTATGTAAGTGAACTGAACTATGCGGTACCTTGTCGCAGTGTTCGGAGAATACGTATGAATATAAAAAGATTAGATACTATTTTTAGCGCGCCAACATCTGCTAGATCCAAGGTCGAAGTCAGGGACGTCGGAATTGTCCTGACAATTTCGCGTAAAAGTTTCGCGAATTTTCGTTTGGAATTTTTTTTCTGTTGCCACGGCTATGATATTATTACGTGCTGCCACCATTCCATTGATTCATTTCACATTGGCTGGTCCATTTATTAACGATACACAATTAGCTCATCGTCCATTAATTCCTAGTGACGTCGACGATCAGCCGATGACGCTTTGTTCGTTGTGTTGTCGCCCTGAGGAATTCATCGACGCCGTTATAAACGTACCCCTCGTAGATTATTCGAACGTTGCGGACAATAGACGTATATAATCCGTACGTAGGAATTTCACTGAAATTCCACAATTCGTCATGCATACACATAGCGTCTCTCCGGTATCGGAAAAAAGAAAGACTGTACCCGATCGTTTCGGCGGTAAAATAATATCGGAACGAATCGATAAAAATTTTGTCATTGTTATTTTTCAATCGATTTACGCCCGATCGCATTGAACTCTCGTGACAGTGGAATTGCGAACTGTAAAAAATTTTAAATTTTAATCAACAGTCGTCCATTTACAAAAGAA